CTATATAATTTAGTTTAAATTTTTATTAAATTTTTTACCTATGATCTACATCTCCAGCAGTACTCAAAAGAGATTCTTGCGGTTGAGAATCATCATATTCAACTGGATCTGTAAATCCCGCCTTTTCATACATGGGTGGTGATTCTGGTGTTTCGGATAGAATTTCGTTCTTTCCTCTCACAATATTAGTCCATGTAGATTCATTATTGGAGTCCCATCTATCCGTATCACCATCCATCCATGTTTTTGTTTTTTCATCACATTCACCAGGCCAAGTTGGATTCATGCTATTTTTTCCTATAAATATTATAAAACTTAATATACGTTATAAATTTGTAATAGAATGATGTCAAATTATTAATTTATATATTATTAATTTATATAATAATATAAATTCATACCCTTTTCTTCCCATTTGGCTGGTTCCTTTATAGTTTCATTTGGAGGTGTCCATGTAGGAAATTTTGGTGGTAATTTATTATAACAATTTTCATCGTCAAGAAAAATAGGCGGAGGTAACGGTGGAGGTGGTAAAGGATTAACAGTATTATTATTAGTAGGACCATCAAAAGGTACAGTAATGTTACTTTGACTGTTTTGACTGGAGTATGGTGAAGGAGTATGCGATTCGCCTGATAAATTCCGAACAGGTAATGGAGTACTATGAGTTATTGGACAAGTATTTACGCCTATAGGTGCATTCTGATTACCCATAATTCTTGACATCACAGGAGTTACAGAATGCTGCCCTAACACAGGTGAATGTCTATAATTCGAACGCTGTGGTGACTCTACTCGTGATTCTGGAATATCTAAACCAAGACCTGGAATACCACCAGGATCTTGTGTTCCATCAGAAGAAGGAAGAACAGTTTTTAAAAAACTAGAGATATTAAAATCCGCGCTATTACTTTCATTTTTGGAGGGTCTCATGTTGATTACCTCTATTGGTTTAGCCTAGTAAAATAATATTTTTATAATGTTTTACTAATACATATTTTATTAATATATATTTTATGTATAATATGATAAATATTTATCTTATTAAAATATACCTCTATTGAATCGTTATACTGCTGTGATATTCCAGTAGGTGTTGATGATCTTTCATTAAATATATTTCTCTTTAAAATGAAAAACAAATAATTTATGATAATATTCATTAAAATTATTATATAATCTTTCAATTATAATATCTTACCATATTACCAAAATCCACATTTCCTCCCATAAAAGATGAAAAATTATTAGTAAAATCACCAGAATCATTGACTTGACCCATTTCTGGAGCTGGTACAGGCACTGGATCATAATCATGTGAATATGAACCATACATAGATGGTGGTGCTACATCTATCATTCCTAATTGATTTTGAGATTGAGTTTCTTCTCCTGGAAGTTCAATATCACTATCAGGACTTGGAGATGGAGCATTTATGTCTGGTGATGGAATTGGTGAAACTAGTGTTGGTAAAAGTTCATCCAATTTTTTCTTCAAATTTTTTACGCGACTACCAAAATTTCTGTATGCCTATTAATAAAGGATATTAAAAATATTAAAAAATATTAGTAAGTATAATAAATACTTATCATTTTTTTATTATACTTACATTAGTAACTATTTTCACTTCACCTCTTTGAGTTTCATAAAATTGATCAGCTTGTTCTAATAGTTCAAGTACTTGGGTTCTTTCTCTAATTTCTGCTTCTAATGCACGAACATAATTTTCAACATTTCTAACTGCTAGATCTACTTCCTTTTCTGCATCTTCAACCCTTCTTCTATCTTTTAGAGAAGCACATAATTCTTCTGCATTTTCTATGTCTATATTACTTTCACGTAAATCTCTTAATCGGGCATCAGTTGCTTGTTCTAATGTAGCACATGATCTCATAGTAGAGATAAGTAAGGCAGCTTGAAATTCTTCAGGTGGTACTGTTGGCTGAGGTTCTAATTTCTTTTTTGGTGCTGCTGAAATTAATCCTGACAAATCTGCGAGAAATTCTTCATCGTATACTTGTCTTTGATCCCAAATTTTGAAAATCCTTAATATACGATGTTTCACTTTTTCATCTCTAACCATAGTTGTTGCTCGTTGTAAAGTAGTGCCCCATGATTCCACAAATTCAAAATTTTTTCTCTTAGAGTATTGAATAACATCATTTGCCAGATAAAATAGCGTAAGCCGGTGCTCAACTTTTACTGTTATTTAAGAAAACATCATTGTCATCCAATAAGTTGCAATTTAATTAAAAACAAGAACCATTCAACAATGATTTCAAAAATATTTAAATAAATATAATATTTAAGTAAATTATATGTAAACATTTACATAAAAATATATATTCATAATAAAAATTGAAATAAAATTAGATCTAATTATTAATAAAATATTAAATTTATGTTTAATCATACACATTTCGTTTTAAAATTAAATATTTTATTAATAAAATTTTTTAATTTCTATTGTTTATAAAATTTTAAAAAATAATTCTACTTTTGATTATGCATAACATAAATGCAATCTATACTTTTAAATGTAAACAAAAAAAATGCAATAAAATTAGACTATATAATAAACTATATAATAATATAATTTTATATTGAAATAAATATAAACTTACCCTTCTTTAAAACCTGTAACCAGGTAGCTACAATTTTCTTATGATGTTGTCTCCTTTCTAAACACCAAGCTGAAAGACCTTGTATTGACTCCTGTGAATCCTTCAATGTATGAAGTCTTCGCTCAAAGAGCTCCACATCAAAATCACTTGTCGCCATTATGGATTAAAACAATGTGCTGTTTATAAACTTGATCCAATGTCACGTTTTAACGTGAACCACCGAGAGGAACACGTGGAATGTTGATCGGATATCATAGGTATGCCTACTTAGTCAATCAACCTAACCAAGTAATATTGCCACTATATCAATCGCTCGGGTAATTAACCTCATAAATATTCATTCGAATCAAACCATTTTATTCTCTATATCACAATAACATTTTTCAGTTCCACGAATGTTGTTTCGCTTAGAAAACAATAGAAATTTCTGAAAATCACTTGAATCAGTATTCGTGTAATCTACACGCTTAAGACACCGCTTTTACGACGCTTATAACGTTCAAAAAAACTCTTTCAATCCCATAAGAAAATCTGTCGTAACAATAATTTCATTCACTTGATATTATTGTACACGTAACATGTCAACTTTTGTTGGATATTTCAAAACTGTTATATTTCTATATGACCGATCTTGAAAACAAGAATCCGCCATCTTTTCAGAACCAAAACACGAGCGCGCAATGGCCGGCGCGATTTTCTAGTATACATATATAGCTCGAGACAAAATTCAGGAAGAACATTTTTACAGGATACATCGAATTTCACTCTCAAACTTCTCGATTGATCTCTCTATTAAATGATACTTTTTTCAGGTAACAGTTTGTAATTTAGTTCTTCTATCATTGACAATAAATCAATCATTTATAATTTTTTCATATTTTAATAATATTATGTTGGTTTCCAATTTAAGAAGGTTATTAATTAAACAAAATCTAAACTCGAGGTATGGACAATGAATTGTGAAAATGAAGAATACTAAACATGTTTCAAAATGAATGAATGAAAATGTTTTTTGACAATTAATACATAATGATCTGTTTTCGAACGATATGTATGTAAATAAATGTATCTTTATCTAACATTTCTATTTTTTCTTGAACATGGTTTGATTAAATGCAAATTACAATCAATATTGTCTGTGCTTTTCTAATGATAATTTAATGAATTTAGTATAACGTAAGTACAAACTTTATTATCAATTAATTGTATAATTATCAAAGAAATTGAATTTGATGACATAAAAAGCGACATCTAGAAAGTTAGTAACATAAACTCTCCAATCTATTTATGAATTATACGTGGTTGAATATAGTTATAGTTGCAAAGTAGCTTCGTCATTTCACTGCTTATTTTGCATTTTTTTATTATTTATAAGTAAGCACAAAGTCCATATAAAGTCTAACAACTTATATCTATATAACTAACAAATTATAATTTCATTTATTATCTTTTGTTGGAATTCCAGGGTTTATTTCAAAGAAGATTTTAAAATGTCACCAAGAATGAAAATTTATGTTATCGGTGTGGGCATGACAAAATTCGAAAAACCAGGTAAACGGGAAAATTTTGACTATCCAGACATGGCAAAAGAAGCCGTTACAAAAGCTTTACAGGATGCAAGAATTTCTTATGATACTGTAAAAGCTGCTTGTGTTGGATATGTTTATGGAGATTCTACTTGTGGTCAACGAGCATTATACGATGTTGGTCTTACTGGTTGCCCTATATATAATGTAAATAATAATTGTTCCACCGGTTCAACTGCTTTATTAATGGCTAAACAAATTATTGAAACTGGCTCTGCTGATTGTGTATTGGCTCTTGGTTTTGAAAAAATGGAAAAGGGTTCATTAATGTCTAAATTTTTGGATCGTACTAATCCTATGGATAAACATATAGAACTTATGTCTAATATAGCTGGTGAGTTATTTTAAATTATTATTAAGCTATTTTCATTTAAAAATTTTTATTTTATTTTTCTTGTCTTTTCATATTATATTATATATTTATAATTTAAGGTATAAATGAAAGCCCAATCACTGCCCAATTATTTGGAAATGCTGGATTAGAACATATGAAAAAATATGGTACTAAACCTGAGCATTTTGCAAAAATTGCTTATAAGAATCATTTACATTCTGTGAACAATCCATATTCACAGTTTCAAGAAAAATATAGTTTGGAACAAATAATGAGTTCTCCAACAGTATTTGGACCACTTACCAAGCTTCAATGTTGTCCAACATCTGATGGCTCAGCAGCTGTAATTTTGGCTAATGCAGACTTTGTTCATAAACATAAACTTGAATCTCAAGCAGTAGAAATTATAGCAATGGAAATGTGTACAGATTTAGCTTCAACATTCACAGAGAAGAGTTCTATTAAACTTATTGGGTAATAAACAATTTTACAATTTTATAGCACATATTTAACATAAACATAAATTTATATCTTAAATAATTGCAATATTAAGAATAAAGATAAATAACTATTATTTTATAGGTATGATATGACAAGAAATGCTGCTGAAAAAGTATTTACTCAGACTTCTTACAAACCGAGTGATGTGGATGTTATAGAATTGCATGATTGCTTTTCAATTAATGAACTTATTACTTATGAAGCATTGGGACTTTGTCCTCCAGGTCAGGGTGGAAAGTTAGTTGATGCTGGAGACAATACATATGGAGGCAAATTTGTAATAAATCCTAGTGGTGGTTTGATTTCAAAAGGACATCCTTTGGGAGCAACAGGATTAGCACAATGTGCTGAACTTTCTTGGCAACTTCGAGGACAAGCTGGTAAACGACAAGTACCAAAAGCAAAACTTGCCCTACAACATAATATAGGATTAGGTGGAGCAGTTGTTGTTGCTTTGTATCGTATGGGTTTTCCTCAACAATTCGAAAAAACTAAGAAAAATTCAAGTGCAACTCCCGATCCAAATCAATTCAAGGCAAATGCATTGTTTAAATTATTAGAAATTGCAATGCAAGAGGATGAAGATAATTTAATTGAAAAAGTTCGCGGAGTATATGGATTTAAAGTAAACAATGGAACAACGGAAGGCTATTGGATTGTAGATGCTAAAACAGGGAAAGGAAAAATAGAATATTATGGAAAATCTAAACCTGATGTTGTGATTACAATTAATGATATGGATATTGTAGATTTTATTTCTGGAAAATTAAATCCACAAAAAGCATTTTTTCAAGGAAAGATTAAGATTCAAGGAAACATGGGAATGGCAATGAAATTAATTGAATTACAAAAACGTGCTGCTAAAAAAATTGAACTTCTTCGTTCTAAATTATAAAAAATAAAAAAATGCAAATGTATAAATATTTAGTTCAAGAAAAGTTAACTTTCGATATCAAAATATAATTTGAAAAAGCAGAAATCACACATTCATAATCAAAATATTGTTATAATTTAGATTGAAATTCACTTAAAATGCATATTCATTTTGCAATATAAAATATAAATTATTATTTATATTTGCAAAAAATTGAATTCTTTAAAAGCTAATATCTTTTAAAGAATTCAATTCTTTTTTTCTGTACAATAGAGAAGAAGAGAAAAGAATATTTTAGAAATTTCATATAAGATATATTGATAGTTAGTATTTCGTATTAAAATTCTATTTTTATAAATGTTATTTCATTTTAAAAAAGATATATTAAATAAAAAAAGACAGGATTTACAAAAAAATAAACATTCCTTTTATAAGGAAGATAATTTGATAAATAAGTCATAAAGAATAAAAGTTATAATTAATCATTTAATTAACGAGTATTTGTTAATCTTACAAAATTTAAATGAATTATAAATCAATTTAATTTGAAAATAATTTTCAATTATTTATTAGAATTATATTTGGATATAATTTGGATTGGAATAATTGAATTGGATCTATATTAAATTGACTATTTGTTTTATATTTATTTTTTTACAAACAAATGTTAATTGTTAATTATATCTCTATATTATATATTATATATATAATATATATATATACTATATATTTATATAGTATATATATTATATTATTACGTTATATTATTATATCATATACTTATATTTGAATTAGGTGTCAGTTTCAATAAATATAATATACATATATATTATATTTTTATAGAGATACTCTATAAAAAAACTCAATTATAACTTCAAAAGTATTTTTACTATTCACAAAACTTTCTTACAAGAATTATTATAATCTCAATTTTAAAATTTATCTTTTTATAGAGTATTTCTCACAAACTATCATAAAAAATATATTGTTAAATACATGAATACATAAAAAAATGGAAACTAACACTTAACATAGTATAATATAAAAATATATAAAAATTTTTATACGAAGGTTTAGGGTTTTATATTTGTTAATAAATTGTTTTTTAATATTAAATAAATAAAATTAAAAAATTAGATTTTCTTTTTTAAATTATTGATTTCCTTTTTTTTTTAATTTTATAAAAATATTCATCACAAATAAAATCCGTAAATAATGATTAAAAAATAAAAATTTTTGTTTGAATTTGTTACTTTTTATTGAAATCAATTTTCTTTTAAATAATTACGTAAAGCATATTAAATTCATAAAGTCAACTATTTCTCTTTAAATTTTTAATAGATATTTTTAACAGGCGCTTTTTTTCAAAAAAAAAAATTTATTCTAAAATTATGTAATAAGAATATATATTCCGTAACGAATTTTATTCAATTCACTTTTTCAAATTTCAGATTAACGATATAAAAATTCAATTGAGCTCTTGAAGAAAGAATACTGATTTAAAAAATGAAGGAAATAGAAATAGGAGAGATTTAGAAAAAAAAAACATAAGTTTCTAAGTAATCTAATTAAAATATAAATTTTAAAATCAAAATATTATTTAATTTTCCATTTTTTCGTTTAAAATAAATTATAATATAAATATATGTCATTAAAAACAACTTATAGAAAAAGATGTACATAAACCGGAAATATATTATGGGCAATATGCCATTCGATGTAGTATATTTAATAATGATGCAATCAAATTGTTAGGAATAGTATTATGATATTGAAAAGAAAGTATATGATAGTATAGTCGATCGTAATTAAACTCGATGATAAATTATCCAATCATTTCGCCGGTTCCTATGTCGAGTCTG